ATCATATCTGAGTGAATACATTGGTTTGAAAGTATTCTTTGGTGAGAAATTCACTTTTTAGATGGTGGTGGAGGAGGTAAAAAGAAAGGCAAATCGGGTTCGTTCATGACCGTGTCGATGTTGTATCGTGAGTCATTGAACAAGTTGATGAACATGTTGAACATGACACATCCACACTTCATTCGTTGCATTATTCCGAATGAGAAGAAGACCTCAGGTCTTATTGAAGCAGGTCTTGTACTTAACCAGTTGACATGTAACGGTGTACTTGAGGGCATCCGTATTTGCCGCAAAGGTTTCCCGAACAGGTAATCGTTTCAGCAAGGCAATATTTACTCAAGACCAATGAAACACTGGATCCTAAATCAGCATAATTTATGGGGCAGGCATCAAATCCATAACCAAGGAACAAAATTCCATAATATTTCACTTTCCGGATGAGATTTATCATCGTTACACCAAATCATTCCTTCAGTTATCAAATATGAATTCCACGTATCATTCAATCAGGACTGGAAGGAGATTTCTTTCAGAATGTTGCATCCAGACTTCCGTCACCGCTACTCGGTTCTTGCCGCAGATGAGGCTAGCAGTTCGCCAGATGCCAAAAAATGCGCTGAAGCCATTCTTAACAAACTTGTTACAACCCAGAAATTAACTGACGAAAACTTCAAGATGGGTGATACGAAGGTATTCTTCAAAGCCGGTGTTCTGGCTAAACTTGAGGATATTCGAGATGAAGTACTCAAAGTGATCATGACCAAATTCCAAGCATTTATCCGATGGTTAGTGCACTCTTGCTTGTTTGCTTAGCAAGTCGCGNTGCACCGAATTCTTTCGCCAAAAATTTCAGCTGAGTGTTTTGAATTTGTGAACAATTTCTGATCCATCCAATGATTTTCCAATAAGTTTGCCCAACTTCCATAGATGAAGTGAGGACGAAAAGAGAGCCACTTGCCGACATCTTGAAGGATAGATCTGGATCTGTTTCCTTTGTTCAGGTACTGCGGTTTGGTGGATCGTAAACGTCGTATCGAGGAAAATGCAGCTAGAATCATCGTTCAACGTAACGTCCGTATGTGGTGTTCACTTCGAAAATGGGAATGGTTCAAACTGTACACAAAGGTGCGACCAATGTTACGTGAGGGTAAGATTGCTGAACAAATGGAGCAGCTGAACGAGAAGTTGAAATCGCTGGCAGACGTCCTCGAAAAAGAATCCAAACTGCACAAAGACCTCGGTGACAATTCGGCAAAACTGATCGCTGAGAAAACCGATTTGTTGGCTCAATTGGAAAGTGTCAAGGCACAGTTGGCCGAAGCTGAAGAACGCGTACAGGCTGAAAGTGCTGCGAAAGGCGATATCGATAAGAAGCTTGAGGTATGTACGTCAATAATCGCTCGCATACTTTTGACTTTCTTTGCATCGCTTTGATCGCTGTGAGAGACCACATTCAAACANAAGCAATTTAATGGAGAAATAAAGATTCGAAAATTCCGCTGATTAAACTGCTGGCGATAAGAGAACCCCTAAAAAGATATCGGAGAAAAACTGAGTTCGAAGCAATTTTGAATAGGACGATGAATTTCCCGGCTGATTTCAGGAACTGAATGAACGTCTGGCGGAAACCGAAGACAGCAACGAAGACATGCTTCGTGCTAAAAAGAAGGCTGAAAGTGAAGTGGATGCTTTGAAGAGGCAAATTCAAGATTTGGAAATGAGTGTCCGCAAAGCGGAATCCGAGAAGCAATCAAAGGATCACCAGATTCGTTCGCTTCAAGACGAAATGCAAATGCAAGACGAAACAATCGCTAAACTGAATAAAGAGAAGAAACATCAAGAGGAAATGAACAAGAAAATCATGGAAGATTTGCAAGGTGAAGAGGACAAGAGCAACCATGTCAATAAAATCAAAGCTAAATTGGAACAAACCTTGGACGAGTTAGAAGAGAATTTGGAACGTGAACGCCGTGCTAAGGCAGACACTGAGAAGGCCCGCCGAAAGGTCGAGGGTGAGTTGAAGATTGCACAAGAAGGTATCGAAGAGGCGACTCGTCAGCAACATGATTTGGAGAATAATTTGAAGCGTAAAGAAGCCGAAATGAACAATTTGAGTAGCCGTCTTGAAGACGAACAATCAATCGTAAGCAAACTACAGAGACAAATCAAAGAGGCACAAGGTCGTGTCAGTGAATTGGATGAGGAATTGGAAAGCGAACGAGAATCACGAACCAAAGCCGATAAAGCCAAATCTGATTTGCAAAAAGAACTGGATGAGTTTAATGAACGTTTGGACGAACAAGGCAACGCAACAGCCACTCAAATTGAACTGAACAAGAAACGTGAAGCTGAGTTGGCGAAGTTGCGACGAGATATCGAAGAGGCGAACATGAACCATGAGAATCAACTGGTGGCTCTTCGAAAGAAGCATTCCGATGCAGTGGCTGAGCTGACCGATCAGTTGGACACCATCGACAAACAACGTCAGAAGTTCGAACGTGAGAAGGCACAGATTCTTCACGATAGCGAGGAATTGGCCAGTCAACTGGATGCAGAAACCGCGGCAAAGACAAACAACGAGAAGCTAGCGAAGCANCTACAACTTGAAGCCGAACAAGCGAACAGTAATCTAGAAGAAGAGATTGAATCCAAAAATGAGGTGTCGAGACAGTTGAGCAAAGCGAATGCTGAGATTCAACAATGGCAGTCGAAATTCGAAGGTGAAGGCATGATGCGAGCAGAGGAGATTGAAGAGATCAAACGTAAACTAGGATTGAAAATCAACGAATTGCAAGAAGCGCTTGAGGCGGCCAATCAGAAGATTATCTCACTTGAGAAGACCAAATCGAGACTGACTGGTGAACTGGACGATGCCCAGGTGGATGTGGAACGAGCCAATGCGTACGCAAGTCAATTGGAGAAGAAACAGAAAGGATTCGATAAGGTTAGCGCAATGAAATCGTCGTCTTCGTGTTCAGCTGTTCAGCTGAAACGATCTCATTAAAATTTGCAAAAACTCAAGGCCACAACTTTTTTATGCTTTTCTCAATGTAATGGATAGAAAAAATGAACAGTTGAAATTGATAATCAGCTTAAAAGCGTAAACCGCATCTGAATTCAATTTCCTCTTACAATAGAAGATTTCTAGTTGGCTTCGCAAAAATTTATCTGCTCGGTTTACGCTCTGAATTGATATCATTGCTGCGCTTCAGGTTGTTGAAGAATGGAAGAAGAAGAGTGACGATCTGTCGGCAGAGTTGGACGGAGCACAACGTGAAGTACGCAATCAATCGACAGATCTCATCAAAATGAAAGCAAATTACGAGGAATTGATGGAGACCGTTGAAGGTTTAAGACGTGAAAATAAGGGTCTTTCGAGTGAGATCAAGGATTTGGGTGATCAACTGAGTGACGGAGGACGTGCCCAACATGAAACGCAAAAGATTATTCGACGTCTTGAAGTCGAGAAGGAGGAGCTCCAACGTGGACTTGATGAAGCTGAAGGTTATTGTTGCCGAACTACTCGTTTCATTCATTTCAGATAAACGACAAATTTGTAAGTAAATGAACAGATATTGAGAGACAATATGCTAGTAGAAAGAAAGTATTCATGAAGCCAGATAAAGTATCCGAACTATTAATAACCCAAATGAAAGAGTATCTCACACTTGTCACTGCTGGTTTTTCACTATGAACCTTGCATCTCTACTAATCGATTTTATTCAGTATCAGGTTTTTATTTCAGCTAATCAACTTTGTTGATAAATTTTCAGGCAGGTGATTAATTGCAAGTAATTTTCAGGTGCACTGGAGGCTGAAGAATCCAAGGTGATGCGCGCACAAGT